AATTTGTTAAGTTAAAAAATATTACAGATTTGTATTATAATTTTTTTTAAATTTTGATAAAAAAGAATATATATTTATATTTTAGGTGATATTGGAAATTATTATTATGGACAAGGACATCCTATGAAGCCACATCGTATAAGGATGACACATAATTTACTGTTAAATTATGGTCTTTATAGAAAAATGGAAATATATGTAAGAATTATTAATTAATTTAAATATTTATTTTTTTATGTAATATATAATATCATATATTTATTATGATATATTTATTAATTTAAAACAATATTTAAAAATATAAGAATATTTTGTTGCATAGATATTTTAATCAATTTATTTCTTTTTTTTTTTTATTTAGCGTCCACATAAAGCTACTGCTGATGAAATGACAAAATTTCATAGCGATGATTATATTAGGTTTTTGAGATCCATAAGACCTGATAATATGTCAGAGTATAACAAACAAATGCAACGATGTAAGATCACATATTTAATATTTATATATTCAATTAAAATATGAATAATACTTATATTTGATAACTATGTTAATATTTAATTGTTTTTTTTTTTATTTTTTCTGTAGTTAATGTAGGAGAAGATTGTCCTGTTTTTGATGGTTTGTATGAATTCTGTCAATTATCAGCTGGAGGCTCTGTAGCTGCTGCGGTAAAACTTAACAAACAAGCTTCAGAGATTTGCATAAATTGGGGTGGTGGTTTACATCATGCCAAAAAAAGTGAAGCATCTGGTTTTTGTTATGTAAATGACATTGTATTAGGAATATTAGAATTACTCAAGTATCATCAAAGAGTTTTATATATTGATATTGATGTTCATCATGGAGATGGTGTAGAAGAAGCTTTTTATACTACTGATAGAGTGATGACAGTTTCTTTTCATAAATATGGTGAATATTTTCCTGGCACTGGCGACCTCCGCGATATTGGTGCGGGAAAGGTAGAAGTTTTATTAATATGAATTTGACACTTGTATTTTGAAAATTTTATACTAAGTTAGAATCTTTTATATAGGGAAAATATTATGCAGTCAATATACCACTAAGAGATGGTATGGATGATGAAAGTTATGAGTCAATATTTGTACCTATTATTTCAAAAGTA